CACTGGAGGTACAGACAATTATTGCTGTTACTGTTTGTATTTTAATCTTGTTCGTTTTAGATAAACGATTGATATACACAGTATATGCTGTGAATTCTGATATCACTGAATCACAAGCAATAACTAATTTAGGTTCAATTGGCGCCCAGGTTACTTTATTTTTTATGTTCAGATAGCAGGATGAAAGTATTCTATTGTATAGGCCAATCAATTTATTGGTTATTCGCCCAATATACTTACCACTGCATCAGCCAATTACTATGTTGGTCCTGTCACAAACATCGGAAATAGGCGAAGAAAACGAGAAGTACAGTGAGTGATTTTACTGCATCTTCGCAGAGTGACATCTTTAATGTACTAACAGTTATTTCTGCGGTATAAAACAGGCAAAACATGACGTAAAAAGAGTGTTTAAGGGCAGAACTTTCCATCCATCTATCTTCTATAGACCGTCAGAGAAGAAAGTAAAAGCGGATGCCATAGATAAAGCACTTATCTTGAACTCCAGCTTCCAAGATCGTGACCATCTGAGCTTTCTCTGGAATTCATATCTCACTTAGTCGAGTACGAATGTGAGTGGTAAATAAATTCATCTCCACCCACATTCGATCTACAATTTAAGCCTAAGTATTGTCATGATGATCATTAGTCTATGAGGAAGCAAATACAGGGGTTAACAGTCCAAATATTAACCTATAACGATTTCTTTTCTCTTTCAGATCTTGTTTTACAACGTCATGTGAGACAAGCCATAAATTGGTCATCGGAACTTATATCAATGCATGCCCTCATTCGAACTGTCGTACATCTCGTTGTCTTGACGCATGTGTTCCGAAAATTAAAACAGAAATTCGATCAAAAATGCCTTCCACTCCATTCTTGTTCAGCATCACAAAAGCCGATGGAACTTCTTCCACGATTTTGGCTCAATTTTGTTCACTGGATCATCTTGCTCCAGGTAAAAAATAAATCAAAATCTTTTTCCATTCACACTGAAGACGGTTGTATTCAATGTAAAAATTAAGAGAAAAAAATCAGAATAGAAGACGGTTTTTATATATTGGTTTTTGTTTTCGTTGTATTTTTGTTGCTTTAATCGTGCATTTATACCTGAGGCGTTCTCTTTCAAGATTGCTGACACAATTTATTCGAAATATTTTGAACAGAGATAGTAAAATAGTTGAGCATATTCTTATTAATTTCTTTTAGTGGCAACTACAACCGTTCCAACGGCGATGGCAATCACAACCGTTCCAGCGGCGATGGCAATCACAACCGTTCCAGCGGCGATGGCAATCACAACCGTTCCAACGGCGATGGCAATCACAACCGTTCCAACGGCGATGGCAATCACAACCGTTCCAACGGCGACGGGAATTACAACAACACAAAGTAAGCAATAAACTAAGTATTATACTGCCGTCGGCAAGTATCTTGCATGAAGGTATGACTAAGAGAAAGGTATGCTGGAAGCCCAANACTCGACCGAGGCATTTACAAGATAATGCTATGTATCAAATTTCATGAAAATTGGATCATTCTTTCAGGAGTTATCGGATTAACGGCCGGACATACTGACCGATTCTATAGTGTACTCACTTTTTGAGTACACAAAAAAAGAAATTAGATCTTTGCTTGATTGTTTAAATCTGATTCGAATCGTGTTTATATCGGCATTCATAGACAAGATGAATTGTAAACCTTTAACAGCAAACGCAGAGAAGAAAACTATGGTGAATACAAGATCACACGTGAAACCGATGCAGTATACATTCAGATATAAATCCAATAGTCAATTACAAAGAATTCGATTTTTTGTGCTGTTTCTCATCACTATGAATTTGGTAGATGGATAAAAACATCTTACTCATGTAATGAAACATTTCTTTTAGATACTCAGGTTGTTGTTTATAGTCAATCCTTTGTTCTTCATGTTTCATCGAACTATCAGAGAATCTTATATCATCCATGTCTTTTATGTATTTACTTCGTTTGACGACATTTCAAGTGCATTTTCTTGCCTAACAACATGTCTAATCTTGTTTTTTCTTACTATAGCCATTTTTGCTTTGTTCTACTCGATCATTTTTCTGATCTTCGTTGTGAAATACAGAAGAACAGGTATTTTAAATGTAAGTCATCTTATAAATATAACTTTTATCTTTACGTATTCACTAATCATAGTGCGCCTGGCTTCATATATTTGAGCTAGTCGGTGTTTTCATCAGGATCACACGATTTCTATACTATCAAAAATACAGTTTCTTCGCCAAAGAACTTCTTGCTAGAGAATACACTATGGTTGCAGGTATAGCACTAACGTACTACATCCTCACGGTGAGTATTTTATTCGATTTGATCATTAAGCGATAGTTTTCGTATTGAATACCTTTTAGCTTTTAACATTCGTATTCGCATTGAAATTAAGGAGATTAATGAAAAATTCGGATGTTGTGTACTTAGGTCTGACCAAAAGTTCGTGCATCGATAAAAATAAATATGAAGATCAAGAGAAAGTTTCGATTTTATTTTATTAAATGTTCAAAGTAGTCACCGTGATTGTTTATACAAAGTTCCATTCTTTCCAGCAATTTGTCAAAGGTCTTTTTAAACTCTTCTTCGGAAATATTTTTTACTATCTTGGAAACCGCGCGAGCCAAAGATTTTTCATCTGGTTGATCAGTTAAACGGTTCTTGATGTAATCGTTTAACCAATAATCACATGGCGCAAGGTCAGGTGAATATGGTGGATGTGGCATTATATTGATACCTTCGTCCGTTAAATAGTTAATAACATCTGAATGGTGATGGGGTCGAGCATTGTCATGGAGCAGTTTTATACCTTTCGTACCATTTGACTTTCTTTGTTTCCGTATTTCCTTGACAACAGGCTTGAGACAATTTTCAATATAATAAGTATGATCAATAGTCTCGCCTCTATCAACAGCATGTACAAGAACAGAACTATTCGATTTAAAAAAAATACAAAATAAATTTTTTGGTTCAAATCTGCCTCGACGAACTACAGTTGCTGGTGATTGACCTTCAGCAATCCAGCTAGCATTCGTTGACTTGTGACCAATCTGTCTGTGGTAAATCCATGTCTCATCGCCTGTAATAATGTCACATAGTCGCCAAGAACCAGCTCGAAATTTCGCCAAATTTTCACGACAAAGTTTTACTCGTCCTTCCTTTTGTTCAGCGGTTAGTTGATGGGGTACCCACCGTGACGTAACTTTTCTCATCTTGAGATGATCATGGATAATTCGCTCTATTGTACCGTGAGAGAGAAATGTCTCAGCTATAATATCGTCATAAGTTGAATGTGGATTATTGCTGATAACTTGTCGTACCAGCTCAATATTTTCGTTTGTAAGCTCGGAAACCGGACGACCAGATCGAGGATCATCATTGACATTTTCTCTTCCCTCACGGAAACGCTCGGCCCACTTTGCAACTGTTCGATATGCTGGAGCATTAAGTCCTAAAGCTGTTAGAAGTTCCTCGTGGATTGCCTTTGGAGCTATTCCCAGAATAGTCCGAATTCTAATATAGTACCGATTATAATCATTATCCATTTTTATTCGGGTCGAACTATATTGTATCTGGAAAAAACGTTATGGTCAACTTCGAAACCAGTCGCTCTACATATTATTATAGGAAAGACCTTCCACTATCTATTCATAAAAAAAAAGTTCAATGCTAATTGGTGCAATAAATTACCAATAGCAGTGTACGAACTTTTGGTCAGACCTAAGTATTAGCGGCTTGCGTTTGGTGTGGGATGCAATCAAATTCTTTTCGTTGAGGTTCATCCCATCATGTGCCAGTTAAAACTGATATGATTCGTGCCGTACAAAAAGCCAAATCAGTGTATAATCAAGAGCAATTAACACTGAAAGTTGCTGGTGATCGTTTGAGGAAAGAGAATGAAACAAATAGTAATATGCACGACGAAATGAAAAAATGACCGATCAAGAGCAGAACTTATTAGCCAAGCAAAAGAATTTGCAAGATGAATAAAAGAAGGCATTGTTATTGGTGAATGAAGGTCGACAACGGCTTGATGATGCTCTAAAAAAGAATGATGTGTTTGATGTACAAGCAGCAAACGCTTTGATTGGAGCTGGTGATGAGTAGGTAAAGTCAATAGCTGAAGAACTAGTTAAGGTAACGAGCGAACTAATGAATCTTCAAAATAAAAGGAAAAACACGTTGTCTCATGGACTATTGCGTGAAAAAAAAGAAACAGAAAACAATGATGACATTGGATGATTTTTTTGCGTATGAATACTTTTATTGTTATTTTCTTCATTTATTGTACTTGGTTATGATAGTACTTCGTATTTGCTGCATTTCTCATTTTTGTTTTTGGTTTGCGTTATATGAACAGCAGCGATGAAATAAAAGCGCATATGAACTATCGAAGATTGTTTTAATTAATCAATCCTTTTGTTCAACACTCAGGAGGTAGATCATCCTGTGTTATCTTATATATATTGTTCTACAGGAGACGATTTCCACTATGTCGGGTATTGAAAACAAAAAATTTTATTTTTCCTCTTTTTTAATACACTACCAGTGGGATACCAGTCATTAAAATAATCTCCTCTTTTTATTTTTTCCTACTCATTTATATCAGACTAGTCTCATACCGTATGATACAGCAGCGATCATTTTCCATTTTTATCTGCAATTGTGGCAATCTTTTCTCATTAAGTAGATCAGGACAAAAGTAAGAACTAAGTCAGACGTTACTTCTCTATAGGCTATCTATTGATATTACAGGTAAGACCATTCATTGATTGTGTGGGTAGGCTTCTTTATTCAGTACTTCTACGTGTCCTTGCGTCAGCCTTTTCTCTTTTGAAAGGCGAAGAGAAAAACAAGAAGTCAGTTGTGCGTTATATCTCAAACGATCATATATTGATGGTATAGACACATGTTTGTTGTTTTCTATACCTTGTTGAGATAAAATCATTCATTAACAAGATGGATAAGGCTCCTTGCTCTGTAGTTTTACTTGTGTCTGGGTCAGCCTTTTCTCTTTTGAAAGGCGAAGAGAAAAACAAGAAGTCGGTTGTGCGTTATTTCTCAATCGATCATATATTGATGGTATAGACACATGTTTGTTGTTTTCTATACCTTGTTGAGATAAAATCATTTATTAACAATGTGAATAAGCCTTTTTGCTCTGTAGCAGAGGTGTCCACAGGGTGGAATGTTTTGCCCTGCTCTGCCCTGCCCTGCCCTGCCCTGTCCTGCCCTGTCCTGCCCTGCTCTGCTCTGCTCTGCTCTGCCCTGTGGACACCTCTGCTCTGTAGTTTTACTTGTGCTTGCGCTCGCTTTCTCTCTTTCGAAAGGCGAAGATGAAAATAAGAACTAAGGAAGAAAGGTCACCAACTTTAAAATCGCTTTCGATTTAAAACATAGCCCACTATAGGTTATCGACTATGCTGATTCCGAATATGATGGTCTCCACGGCTAATGCTCTGCCAGAGACTCGGTTTTCTCAAAACCCGACTTCCAGAACACCACTTTTTCAAATGTTGTTTTTTATTAGCTCAGGCTATAGAGCATGTCGAATTGTCTACAAAACAATAACTGTTTCTATTTCATATCGATTCCTCTAAGACATACAGTCATACTAATTCATACGAGGAACGTGTATCATTGCATATTTATATAAAAATGCAAAACTTTATCTTCTTTTCCTGGAGTAGACTCTTTCAAGAAAAGAATAAACATTGATATATGGACAATTTGATATGCTCTATAATCTGAGCTAATAAAAAACAACATTTGAGAAAAAAAAAGGGGCGTTCTGGAAGCCGGGTTTTGAGAAGACCGAGTCTCTGGCAGAGCATTAGCCGTGGAGACCATCATATTCGGAATCAGCATGGTCGATAACCTATAGTGGACTATGTTTTGAATCGAAAGCGATCTTACAGTTGATGACCTTCCCTCGTAAGTTGTGCGTTATTTCTTATTCGATCATCAATTGATGGTATAGACACGTCTTTGTTGTTTTCTATACTTGGCTCAAATGCGATCGTTGATTGACTATGGCCATAAGCTGCTTTGTTTACTATTTTCACTTGTACTCGCTTCAGTAGTTTGTATTTTAACTTGTAAAGAGAAAAACAAGAACTAGTGATTGTTTCGTAGTATATAATAGACTGACGATATACATATCTATTTATTTTACTTTATTCTTCACCAAGGTAAGAAAAAATACGAATTTCATTGCGCAGCTATAATGTCCTAGTATTTTCGCGTATAATTTAAGCAGAAACTTTTCGTTTCCGAGAGATGGAGAGAACAACAAGAACTGATCGTTATTTCTCAGTAGCTCATCCGTTGATGGTGCATGTATCCCCTCGTTCTTTTACATAACTAACTAGATGGGGCGACTAAGAAGTCGTATATGCGTACGATAAGGTCATTCAACATATTCACGTGGAAATGTACGAGTGTTTTGTCCCGTATGAGAAGAAAATATAAGGGCTTGTAACTATTTCTTGAGCAATGAGAGGAACACGAACTGAATATCGAGAAAACCTTGCGCAGATTAAGGATGCAACGTTGCCGGTGTACCGTAGGAAAGGTGATAACGGTGGCTGTTTTTCAGATAGGCCGGTGAGAGCGTGAAAAGCTACGGTGTGAGCCGGCTTTCTCACCGATCTATAGAAATTTGTTCCCTTGACTGAAAGGAGAGTCATATGAAAGAAAAGTCTGTCTGTTTGTTTGTGTCTGGGTCAAAGGTGAAAGGTCAAAAAAAGCATTTTTTAGAAAACGCTCAAAACTCCATAAAACATCGTTTAGATGGAGTGTTGAGGATAGTGTGACGATTTCTGATGGAAGAGATGTGTATCCCGATGGAATCATGTCTTTCTTTATTTCTTCCTATCATCGATCGCATCGTTCTAATATAGAACACACGTTTATATACCCTTCTGTCGATAGAAAGGAAGGAAGGAAGGATAATGTCAAAGTACACAAAAATGCACCGAAATAGGGACAAATACTTTGCCCAGTCTAGTATTTCTCCGCAAAAGTACATGCTATTGGATAATATCCTTTCAGTAGAGGGTCAGCGGCTACTAAGCTGCGTTACTTGTGTTAAATAAGCTAGATAATGGTATGACACCCGTCAACAGAATCGTTTTCCGGTGAGCCTACCGATATTTTGGTCAGTTGATATGAGGATTCAATGATAAAATATATAGTGAAGCCAGTGGGTGCATGAATAACCCACAGTGTTGAGTGGTGTCACACTATTATGTGATTCACGTAACGCCAATTTCTATAGATCAGCAAGAAAACCGGTTCACACCGTAGCTTTTCAAGCTCTCACCGGCCTATCTGAAAATCAGCCACCATTGCACCCCTAATGCAGATAACGACGGTCGTTCAGTTATGTGAAAAATCTTACAAACAGGAATATTAAGATTCACATAATCTTTGATCATTCTTCTTTTTACCCATAGAGAAATCTCTCCATGAAAAATGTTGTTTTAATTGGTGTAAGGCTAAACAGGGTTTCGTAGAAGAGCATGTAATGTTTGAACACATATAATAAATCCTTGTGCAAGAATAAACGTTCAGTACTACACATATCTGGTCTGATGTTAAATATTGCGTTCATTAGGTGAACGCCTGAAAGCGATATCGTGTCGATCGTATTTTTTTTTCGTCACGACACTATAAATGGATACGGAGATTCGAATCGCTATTAATATGATGCTAAAATTTATAGTAAGTATTTAAAAAAGACTTTTGTAAAAACTGATTGTACTTAGACGATTTCTGCTTTCTCTCTTAGTATCACGCTCCCATTTAAATGTGAGTAGATAGCAAGTGAATAAGGTCCGTGACGTAGAAGTCGCTTAATAAAAAAAATATTTTGAAAATGTAGATGTAGGTATGGAATTATTTGTTCTAGACACATTCACGTCTTCAAGTCACCAGTATTGTTACACACTGAACTTTACTAGAAATGTTCGCTGACGATGACGATCGCAATAATATTTGGTCAAGGAGAAATCGTTGGTATGAGAATACAACTATTCATCTTTATGTTCATATTGTCTATTATCTCTCTGCTGTTTAGGTTCACATCACCATGGAGATTTCTTTTGCTGTTATGTTGTATGTGCAAGGTTTTATTTTCTATTGCTGCGGTTATTATTATTTCGTTGATACCTTTATATCTGAGTCGAAAAGGCGATGGCATTAAGGCTGCCACTGACACTGGAGGTACAGACAGTTATTGCTGTTACTGTTTGTATTTTAATCTTGTTCGTTTTAGATAAACGATTGATATACACAGTATATGCTGTGAATTCTGACATCACTGAATCACAAGCAATAACTAATTTAGGTTCAATTGGCGCCCAGGTTACTTTATTTTTTATGTTCAGATAGCAGGATGAAATTATTCTATTGTATAGACCAATCAGTTTATTGGTTATTCGCCCAATATACTTACTACTGCATCAGCCAATTACTATGTTGGCCCTGTCACAAACATCGGAAATAGGCGAAGAAAACGAGAAGTACAGTGAGTGATTTTACTGCATCTTCGCAGAGTGACATCTTTAATGTACTAACAGTTATTTCTCCGATATAAAACAGGCAAAACATGACGTAAAAAGAGAGTGTTAAAGTGTTTAAGGGCAGAACTTTCCATCCATCTATCTTCTATAGACCGTCAGAGAAGAAAGCAAAAGCGGATGCCATAGATAAAGCACTTATCTTGAACTCCAGCTTCCAGGATCGTGACCATCTGAGCGTTCTCTGGAATTCATATCTCACTTAGTCGAGTACGAATGTGAGTGGTAAATAAATTCATCTCCACCCACATTCGATCTACAATTAAAACTTAAGTATTGTCTTGATGGTCATCAGTCTATGGGGAAACAAATACTGGGACTGACAATCCAAATATTAACCTTTAACGATTCCTTTTTTCTTTCAGGTCTTGTTTTAAAACGTCATGTGAGACAAGCCATAAATTGGTCATCGGAACTTATATCAATGCATGCCCTCATTCGAACTGTCGCACATCTCGTTGTCTTGACGCATGTGTTCCGAAAATCAAAACAGAAATTCAATCAAAAATGCCTTCCACTCCATTCTTGTTCAGCATCACAAAAGCCGACGGAACTTCTTCCACGATTTTGGCTCAATTTTGTTCACTGGATCATCTTGTTCCAGGTAAAAAATAAATCAAAATCTTTTTCCATTCACACTGAAGACGGTTGTATTCAATGTGAAAGTTAAGAGAAAAAAATCACAATAGAAGACGGTTTTTATATATTGGTTTTTGTTTTCGTTGTATTTTTGTTGCTTTAATCGTGCATTTACATCTTAGACGTTGTCTTTCAAGATTGCTGACATAATTTATTCGAAATATTTTGAGCGGAGATAGTAAAATAGTTGAGCATATTCTTATTAATTTCTTTTAGTGACAACTACAACCGTTACAACGGCGGTGGCAATCACAACCGTTACAACGGCGATGGCAATCACAACCGTTCCAACGGCGGCGGCAATCACAACCGTTACAACGGCGACGGCAATCACAACAACACAAAGTAAGCAATAAACTAAGTATTATACTGCCGTCGGCAAGTATCTTGCATGAAGGTATGACTAAGAGAAAGGTATGCTGGAAGCCCAACACAAATACTATGTAAATCAAACTATTTTTTATTTCTAATAGTTCTCTAGATACTTGTCAAGTTAGTAACGGCGGTTGTGACACCATTCGATCTGCCAATTTTCTAATTATATACTGAACTTTTGATCCCCGACAGATCTACATAATACATACATACAAACGTATTTTCATTTGTTCCGTACTGCCCTTATTTCAGTCGAAGGAACATGTCATCATATGATTCGAGAAAAGGTCGCTTGTAGAGAAAATCTTTCTTCTTTATTTTATAGAACCAACATGCTGTGATGGGATCACAAATGGTAATGAAACAGATGTTGATTGTGGTGGAAATAATTGTTCGAAATGTATTGATGGAAAAGTTTGTACAAATGATGCTGATTGTCTTGGACATACATGTGCCGCAGGAAAATGTTGGGGTAAGCTAGAATGAGAGAACGAAGTTATTTTGAAATAAATTCGTATTCTTTTTCAATAGCAACATGTACGGATGGAATACAAAATCAAGATGAAACAAGTATTGATTGTGGTGGATCATGTCCAAATTGTAAAGAAGGAGCAACATGTAAAATCAATGAAGATTGTGCTGATGGTTGTAGTACTGTTATTTGTATTAATAGTATTTGTACCAGTAAATCATTCACTTTATTTTTATTTTTACCTTGGTATATATTTGTTTAGGACTCTCCATGTTTTCAGCAAATTTTGTTAACGGTGATTTTGAAAGAGGAGATGCTAACGGTTGGACTATTGGTGGTGGAGATCGTAGACACATAGGAACAGATACAATCGATCCAGCTATGTATTTGCCAGATGGTGTGAAGTATAATTCAATAATTGCTTCACGACATTCAGCAATAGTTAAAAGTGGTTTAGATCCAAATTTAGGTGATAAAATGCCAAATATTGTTTACCAAGGAAATTATTCATTTCGTGTTGAAGATGTAAACATTGGTAGTTATATATCGGTTATTCAGCAGAAAATTGCTTCTTATATCTGCACAGATATCTATTTTGCATGGTTAGCTGTTTTGGAAAACGGTGGTCATACAGCTAATGAATCTGCTCTTGTTACTATAACACTGACTGATAAAACAACTAATGAAACATTAATCAATCGTCGTTATAATGCTGGTGCTGGTGGTAGTAGTGTTGATACACGTTTTCAGACATTTGGTAACACTTCTTACACACCACAATGGCAAATTGAGCATATACCAATTGATTATACTCGTACAGGTCACGATTTTCAATTGCTTGTTGCTGCCATGGATTGTGCATTGGGAGGTCATAGGGGATATATTTATCTTGATGCTTTTGGTGGAAATTTACCTGTTCCGAATCAATAATTTGAAAACTTTTATCTAAAAACAGTTTTCTCCATTAAAATTTTATTAATTCGATTTTATCATTTAAAAAATAAATATCAATTCTTCTTCTTTTTTTTATATTAAAACGGAATCTCCAATGAAATCATTCATATAATGCACTAACTTATCGCTAGATATACACGTTTAGAGTGTTTCTATGTACGTTGAAGGAAAAAGAATCATTTTTTATTTGAAAACGCATTGATAACGACGACACAGATAAGAAAATTAAATAATAATACTAGAAGTAACGCGGCCTAGTAGCCGCTAAACCCTCTACTGAAAGGATAGTATTAGAGCACTACTATTCGTCCAAAGAGAGAAAAAGGTTACTCCAGTTGAATGATCTGATCATTTGATAATTTGTCAGAATGTTTTACTTAGACCAATTTCGCTTCCTGAAATCTTCTGAAATTATAACGCCTAGTCGTTTGTCGGCCTCTCTCCGGTCGACCATTCACAGCTAGCCATTGGTATCTAAAAAGTGTTTAATGATATTTTCATATTATAAAGTACCTCGTTCTTGTTGAGTCCGTCTCTAGCAAAGTTACCGAAATTCTTCACAACTTCGTGACCTACAGTATATCTTTTATTGACATTCTTAGTTGAATAAGTTGGCAGTCTACATAGTTTTTCTTCGAAGCTCGAAAAGACGTCATATATACCTTAGAAAAATTATGGACACTATGCGAAGCTCTTATAAATCTCACTTTTCAACTAATTTTGAAAAGAAGCATTTGGTCGTTCGTCAGCTTCCCTTCGGTCGGAAAATCAATTCGTAATCAAAAACTTAGAAAGTTTACATACCTATATGATTCTCTAAAAAGGTTTCAATCTTCTCTCCATCACAAGGAACCTTAAATAGCTGCCAGCTATGTTCGTGACGAGCAACGATTAACTGCTGTCCAAAAAAATCTTCAAGCTCTATAAATCACAAAAATTGTTCTTGAAAACATTTTTCTGCAAATCAACAACTAGTCGTTACATGTACATTTTCACTGTTCCATTTAGTCTAGAACTACTTGTGAAACTAATTCATTCATTGTCTTCTATTCCTTCTTGAAAGGTGACTATCTTTGTGCTACTGTGACTCTCGAAGACAACACTTGACAAACGAAACATTATTTTCGATGACCAGCATCAGATGATATTCGTATAGTACAGCTGTTTATATAAGTGTGTGATCTCATTAATATGCTGGTGATTATGGAGATCCAGCAATCGGACGTCAGTGAGCTATGACATTTTGATCTACATATAGCCGCTTAGAACACTATCGTCTAAAGAAATTGATCCTTTGTCGTAAAAAACGAGACAGAAAGCTTTTATGAAAAAACTAACACCGGATTCGAGATCCTTAACCCTGAGTACCTTTCGGTCAAACTTTGTCCTCCAATAGGGTCACTAAATAATCAGTATCGAACAATGATGTGAAAGAACAAATCAAACAACCAACCAACATCCACTCATTTTTTTTCTGTAATATCTGCTCGACGCATAACCCTCCTTGCAGTAGAGAGAAAAAGTTAAAATTATATATAAATCCGTATGTAACGCATATTTCGAGTTATATCAGGTTCACAAAAGAGCCGGATACTGTAAAGGTGAGTGACAAAATCCGCTTCCAAATGCAAACCAAGCTTGTTCTTATCATACCGTGTATGTGTTATATATAGAAGGAAAATCCTTTTCCTTTGTAAATTTTACAGCTTTCAATCGAACTGTTAAGATATAATTGTTCTATTCTTATCTAATAAATAATTATTACGCACGCTCTTTATTTTCTCAGGGAAATAGAGAATAAGAGACAGACGTCATTGATAAAATTTTTATCAAAATCCAAGAATAGAATATTCACATATATATATATATAAATGATAAAATTTTCAAAAACTACATTTATTGATTCATTATTGTGAACACTTACGACAATGAACTGATGGAATATGGCTTGGAAAAAATTAGTAAATCTCAATTTATTCGATACAGAGACAGATGATAATCATACTAAACGTAATGAAATTCTCTCGACAAGAATTTTTGTTGTTCTTTTAATCCTATTTTTACTCTTATTTATTTTGTATCAATTATTAACGTATCACTCAACTTTGATTACAGTCGATAAACCAACGGTTCAACAATATAAAAACATAGAAATAGAATTTTCCAACAGTTTACAATGTCCATGTACTAATATATCGATTCCATACAAAGAATTTGCTAATATTACAGCTAAATTTTATGAAATTTGTGCATCAGATTTTATTAGTCAACGATGGATTGATTATCTCTTTTTTGAAAATGTTAGTTACTTTTATCAGTTGGATTTTCGTCGTAGTGCATCATCAAAATTTCAACTTCTTCGAACATTATGTCAACAAGCAAAAGTAATGACTGATGATTATTTGGAAGAATTTTATTTAGAACAGCTCATAACAAATCAAATAATTTCGAATAGATCATTTCATATACAAGTAGGGGCATTTATAGACATGTACAAACGAAAAATAACGTCAGTGTGGAGGAATTCATTAGAATTAATTAGATCAACTACCATGGCAAACCGTTTATTTTCAGCAATCGAAACACGCTCTGTATATAAAATTGTGTATTGGAGTCCAAATGTCACGTTGATGCGTATGGCAGAGATTAAGTATCATGGGGGAGCTTCAATATTTTCCACATTCAACTGTTTCTATGATAATTTCCACTTACGTCAGTTACCTGAAGGTATTTATGCAGATATTGATCGTTACGACTGTGCTGGATCAGTCTTCTGGGAAGAAGAAGAAGAAGAAGAAGTATGCATGAGAGGAAATACTAAATATATTGATACAGACTTTTTTGTGCCTGGAATGAATGCAGGTTGTACACCATTTGAATCTTTGCTGTATTCGACAAATGAATGTTTACTTGATGAGACGTGTATCAATCAATTAATACCTTATATGAATTATTCTTTGATAAAGAATAATTCTTTTACAGCATTGAAAACATCTTTATCAATATGGAATATAACTAATGAAAATTTAGCGAAAGAATTATTTATTGAGGATTGGATAGTTACGATATCATATGAAAATTATTTCAATTCATGCCAACCATTATTTTATCAATATACACATGATGCAAGACCTTCTTTTTATGAAATTTTAATCGCTACTCTAAGTGTATATGGTGGGTTATATGCTGTTTTGACATTAATTGTACCAAATATTGTGACATTTATTCGAAGACAAAAACGAACAGAGTCAGAAGATGCAAATATTATTCAAAGTAAATGATGAGAATATGATTTTTAAAGTTAATATTTTTCCTTATCTAGTACCACGATTAGCTCGTCTACGAATATCATTTCGTTCAATCGTTAATGTATTATGGAATGTAAATATTTTCGATAGCTATTCATCCGATGAATATCGACGACAAAGTGAACGTATTTCAACAAAAATTTATTTTCTCCTATTAATTATTTGTTTAATTATATTTACAACTTATACAGCAATAGAATATCAAGAAAAAACAATATCTATCCCATATCCAGAACAAACTAAGTTTGAACAAATGAAAAATACGTCATTGAAAAATCTTCAGTGTCCATGCGATCGCATCGCAACAAAATATTCAGAATTCATTAGTTTTAATCCAATATTCCATCAAGTATGTTCAGGTATATCTATAACCGACGGTGACTATAATGACATACTCGGATTATACATATATGATATCAGAACAAACTTTCAGGTTGTTGCAAATTCTTTTTTTGAGATTTTATCTGCTTTGTGCAATTCAAGTAGAGAAACAGTTGCCAATAATATAGGACAACTTACTGAAACAGAATATGTTACGTCTGAAGTTATGGAAGAGAATAAATTCAATCAAGAAGTGATTTCCTTCTTAGGATTATTTATTGATCAAACAGAAAAATCTTTTCAAGAGCAATTAAATTTACTTCGAAAGGTTATCGCGGGAAATAAAGTACGCTATGCGCCTCGAGGTGTGATTACTATTGATGACGAGATTTTGAATACTGTAATGCTAGACAGTCTCATTGTCTATAACAATTCAGTATGTTCTTGCGCAACTGATTTCACGTGTCCGCAACAAATGTTCGCTCGACACACAAACAGAAGCGAGAACATAAATCTGCCTGGTATTTACCGTGGTTGTTATCCGATTGATATGTTATTTCTGTCAACTATGGAATGTTTTTATAATGAACCATGTATGTATCATATCAAAATTCCCGAGCTTCAAAATTTTGGTTACTATACAAAATTCAAACCCTTGGAGTACAATGAAACAAGTCGATATGGCATAAATGAAACACTTGAAACATTAATTGGAAATCTGTTTATTGAAAATTGGAATGAAAATTATTCGTATAGTTCGTATTACAATCAATGTAGCCCAGCATATTGCTCACATATTATTCGACAACGACTTGGTTTTATTGATATTTTAAGAAGAGTGATTGGTTTCTACGGTGGATTAACGATTATTTTGAAAATCTTAGTACCAAGTTTGATCAAACTACTTCGACGAAAATCAAGAAGAGAAATAGGTAAGAATTAATTTTTTATTATACCTCGCAATATAAATATGATTTATTCGCTAATCTATGACTTCTAGCTACCTCAACACGAAATCGAATTCATCAATTGGCACAGCCGTTAAAAATAAAATTAATTCAGTTAAATTTGTTTCGGAATCGATCGACAAATCCAGAGAAACTTCGACAACAAATCTTAAGTACAAGATTATATTTAATTACGTTTCTTATTCTTCAATTTATTATTATATTATATACATCATTGGAGAAGAAAATTCGAACTGAAACTATCGTTTTAAAAAATTTAAATCACTATAAACAATTACAAAATTTATATCCAAACAGTTTAACATGTCCATGCGTTCGAATTGCAATAGAATATAAACAATTTATTCAAATTAATCCTGTATTTCATCCAGTTTGTTCATCAGATTTTGTTACTCAAGAATGGTTTGACTTTTTGTATTATACAGGCAATGAAGAAGAACAGAGATTCCTATTCTTGGTATCAGCACAATTTCAAGTTCTTTCGTATTTGTGTAATTTAACAAAAGAAACACTTGATAATAATCTACTGGAATTTCGTTCAAAAAAATTAACCAGTAATCGAATGCTATCATCACAATTATTCGAAAATGAAATCACTTCAGCTGTTAATCTAATTAAAAAGTCAACTCCTCGAAGATTTAAACGAGCATTAGATCTCATTAGTGGAATCATCCACGGCAATTTTTTCATTACATTTCAACAAACAAATTGGAAATTTACTTATTATAACGTAGCTGCAGGATCCCCATATTATACTAATCCAGTCACGTATAAAAATAATTCGTGCACTTGTGGAACATCATCAAAATGTACAGAAACATCTAAAATTGATGGCTTATTAATTGGTTGTTATCCATTAGAATCCTTATTACAGTCATCATTAAAATGCTTATATAATCAAACATGTTTAACGTCGATTACAGAATTGACCGAAAACAATGAATCTTTTGAAATTCTTTCAACAAATAATCAATTATATTCAATTGATGAAACTGTTCAACAAATGGTCGATCGTTTATTTGTTATTGATTGGTTTATCAATCAATCTTATTATGAACAATATTTTAAACAATGTCATCCAACTCTATGTACGTATTCTTTTATCTCAACTTTCGATTTACTTCGTTCCAGTACTACTATTTTAAGTTTATATGGAGGATTAACTATCATTCTTCGTTCAATTATTCCACTGATTATCAAAATTATTCTTCGATTTTTACGTAGAAGAAGAACAACAAGGCAAATTTCAACTTTAGAAATATCAAACTAAAAATATTTTTTCATACATTTGATTTTAGATATTGTCAGCTTCTGCTTTTGTTTTGAACTCTAGTACGCTCAAGTTTTTTTTCCGTTTATACTATGAATAATGGGTTTAGTTAATTTTATTCGTCAATGGCAATCTTAAACATCTTGAGGGTGAGACTAGCTGCCATATCTAGATTTCACTTCTACTAAGAAGCTCATCAGATGACTTATTGAATTAAAAAGGATCAAATTCATAATAATTAGTGGATGTTGTAGTTAAAATGTTTAAAATAATGATTGTGTTGATGTTGGTGACTCGATTTGATCGTTCTGAAGAGAGAGAGAGGCTCCGTAAATATCGATGGACATATGGTATTGTTGTACAAATGAATACCATTAGTTAACATTTGAACGGAAAAGGGAGATAAATATTGATCGGAGTAGACCACATACTCTGGATTATAATAAAGAAAAGATTTATGCAAATATGTAAACGAAAGTTGGAAGAAAAGGGAAAGTATATAATCAGATGTAATACATTTATCATTTGTTAGGCGAAAATAGACTTGAGGTATTGTCGCTTGAGGCATGAGCTTTTCAGGATCAATTTGCGAGGCCGTGATAAATCTCAAATTGTAACTAGGTTGAATAAATTTGTTAAAAGCTGCTTTGATTATCAATATATTTGAAAAGTATACTAGAGTTCAATTATAAAATATGTATAAATAACGCTCGTCGAAAGAGACTCGCATTACCCTCGACTGATTGGGTTATACTTCAGATAAAACTTGTGCTTCCAAATGATGTCTCGGGAACGGTCCTCGTCAATTTCAACCTTTTTCAAAACTAACCAAACAACTGTCATCGTTCTTGTTATTTATGTAATGTCCATTTTTGCAGTCTTCTCTTTCAATTATTGGAATATTCGACTGCTTTCAAAACTCTTCTGTTCATCCTCAGTGAAATGATGTCCCTTTAGAACCCTTTTACTCACTCGCAAGTATACGAATACTCGAATAATTGAACGGAAGGGTAGACTGTTGAATTTAAGTTTCAAACTACAGATATTTGGTATTATGACAATCTATGATTGTATACTTTTCCTCTTCTCTCTTTCTCTTCCTCTTCATATACAACAATTATCTGCTTTCTTTCTTCCTATATAAACTTTGACATTAGCCTCTCAATCCATATACCCAACATAGAGATATTGATAGATTTATCTCTTCTTATTATGTAACATTCACATGATATTGATATCAGAAACGCACTCTTATGTACGACTGTTTCTGCTCCCTGTGTTTTCANTTTCTTATCTGTGTCGCCACTATCAATGCGTGTTCAAATAAAAAATGATTCTTTTTCCTTCAACGTACATAGAAACACTCTAAACGTGTATATCTATCGATGAGTCAGTGAATTATATGAATGATTTCATTGGAGATTCCCTTTTAATATAAAACAAAGAAGAAGGGAATCTCCAATGAAATCATTCATATAATGCACTAACTCATCGATAGATATACACGTTTAGAGTGTTTCTATGTACGTTGAAGGAAAAAGAATCATTTTTTATTTGAACACGCATTGATAGTGGCGACACAGATAAGAAAATTAAATAATAATACTAAAAGGAAAAAATTATCGGTACGTAAAATTAATTCGATTGAATTAACACAATTGATTGTTATGATGTGATTTTGTTAACGAAAAACAAGATTTTATTGAATTCGGACGTTTCGTCAAGTTTAATTGACATCTTCAGCAGATTAGTCTAAAATTTCAATTTTCGTTTTGAATTTTCTTGTCATATGATGCCACTAGACTATCATTTATGTGTTGGTCGTGGAGATGGTGCTGAAGATGTCAATTAAACTTGACGAAACGCCCGAATTCAATAAAATCTTGTTTTTCGTTAACAAAATCACATCATAACAATCAATTGTGTTAATTCTTTAAAATTAGTCTAAAATTTCAGTTTTTCGTTTTAATTCGATTGGTAAAAACATGATTTATTTCTATGTTATAGTATAAAAAGAATTTGCAGATTTATTAAATGAAATTTCTATGTATTTAAATTCCTATCAATCATACATTTCATTTTTTGGTTTAAACCGAAGTTTTTCACATTTTTGTTAATTTATTTCGGCATGAACGCGCGTAACGCGTTGATGTTTTGGTCGGAGTATTTTTATTTTTTCTCATTGATTAATAACCATAAAAAGTTTCCTTCTTCACTGTCATATATTTCCCTGGTCCCTCTACAGTCATCTGCAAAAATCAAATCGCCTGGACTAGTTGCTTGGAAATAATTGATGAAATACCTCTCGTAACACGATGGCGAAAAAAGACAAAATATTGATAGTGATGTACAAGATCAGTATTTTTCTGCGAATCTATACTACATCACAGGGAACATTTATTAGACAATCTTAAGCTGACACAATAAGGTTAGCAATGACATGCTTGATTTAATTAAACAACAACATATGCTGCAAAAACATCGCCTTTTACTAATGTAACGCGCTGATCCTGTTTTTCGAATCGGAGTTTTTTTTACATCTATTTCAAAGGCATTTGGCTACATAAAATTATTATAGTGTAGTTTTTGTCATAGTCGTCCAGAATTAGCATTAAATCTGATATTATTAACGATTTCAATTTGAAAATTATCGGTAACAAATTATATAGAAAACCTATAAGGATCTAGCAGCTAAAAGGTATTCCTTAATTTTCTTTGTAAAAATGGGTTTAAAACATCAAACCAATTACATATTTAGAATCCGAATGAAAATCTGCATCGAATCCATGGGATTAGATTGAAAAATAAAAACATTGATTTTTTCAAAATTTTGGCACGCCTAAAAAATCGTTGAAGAACTATGAAGAAACGTCATCGCGTTACGACGAAATTTCACACAGTGTGATCTTTCGAAAATAAAAATATATCTGTTAGAAAGCTCGTAAAAAGTTAGCTTTGGATATGTATTTTGAGAAGAAAAATGTTGAACCTTATTAGCCCTTTCGGGACCGGTGGCACTTTGAAGTGCCATTGAGCTTGAGGGTGATCTTATCTGTAGGAATTCGACCTTGTTTCGTGTTTCTCCGAAGGAAATGTTGTGGATGTTGTTTTAAACGTTCGTCTTATGGTTAGTATTTTCTTTTTTCTTATCCTCATTTATACTTCCTGGATTTTTTCCTCTTGTTCGCCATTTATTACATAGTTATAAAGAAATACTGACAAAAAAATCAGATAAATAAAGACTTCACAGTTCGTGCTTTGTCAGTTTACTATGTAATGACTTCATATGTGTACTATATTCATTGTTGTCATGACGTCATTATGTATCTTCTTTCGTTCTTTTGATCACATATATACATGACGTCATGTGCACAGTATTATCTACCATATGAACATATGATGACATCATATGCTCTTCCATCTGACTAAATGTACTCTGTCAACTGATTTTCCATCGCATCACATAGATTCTTCCTTTCGCTTCTAGATAAACTTTTCAAATCATATATATAGTTGTTGATATTATATAATAAAAGCAGAAGAAATATATACATATATATATATATATATATATATATTATATACATAATTATTTCGCTTAGTGAAACTCTAACTAACAATTTTCATCTACATATAGCAACTTCAAGAGAAAAGCTCAATCCAATGGAAATCGACGAAATCTTCAATGATTCGGGATCAGAATTAGCCACAGAATTTGACGATCTACATATGTCCTCCACCAATGAAGAAGATGAAGAAATGGACATTGCATCACCGACTATTCGAAAAAAACACGCTCCCAGAAAGTGGCGTCAGTATGGCTTCGACCTCAAGGACTTGAAATTTTCCGATAGAGCATCAGGTGTTAACGAAGAATTTGAAATTGAAGGAAACAATCCATCTGACTATTTCAAAGCATTTTTCGACGACGAACTAATGGAGATAATTGTTGAAGAAACTAACAATTATCAACAACAAAATACAACACCAAATATCGCAAAAACTGCAGCTTGGTACGACACTAATGCAGAAGAAATGTATATCTTTTTTGCTACCACTATTCTGATGGGATTAAATCAAAAGAATCGCATAAAAGATTATTGGTCAACGGATAAACTGATAACAACACCAATTTTTGGAGAGCTTTTCACAAGAAATAGGTATCTTTCCGTTCTCCGATACCTTCACTTTGCTGATAATAACACAGAACAAGAAGGCAAGCTCCGGGAGATTCAACATATCATCGAGAATTTGAGAAAGAAATCCCAAAAAGCAGTAATTCCATGTGAGAATTTGTGTATTGATGAGAGCCTGATGCTTTGGAAAGGTCGACTCAGTTTCTAGCAATACATTCCGTCGAAAAAACATCATTTTGGTGTCAAGCTCTTCCTGTTATGCGACTGTGAGACCAAATTCGTTCTGAACTTTATCATTTACACTGGAGCAGAAACAGAAATCGACAATTATCCCGAGGTCGGAATATCAAGTTCAGTAGTACTAACATTGATGAAAAATTATTTGAAGAAAAATCATACACTCTTCATTGATAATTGGTATTCGAGCCCGACATTATTTGAAAGATTATTGGAGGAGAAAACGAAAGCTTGTGGAACTGTGAAAAGAACAAGAAATGGAATGCCAATGTTTGGAAAGCTCGCAAAGGGTCAGCAGGAATATCGAACAACCGGTGAACTTTTAGCACTGAAATGGATGGACGAAAGAGAGGTATACATGCTTACTACAGCGCACAAACCTGTCATGGTAGAAACTGGTAAGAATGATAAAGAAACAGGCCGAAAAATCAAGAAACCTCACTGTATTGTACAATACAACAAAAATATGGGAGCAGTGGATCAAGTGGACATGCAAACCAGTTTCTCGGAATGTCTAAGAAAAACAATCAAATGGTACAAGAAATTGTTTTTCCATTTGTTTGATGTCACCGTGCAGAACTCTTATGCCATGTACAAGATGAAAACCCACAAAAATATCGAACTTTCGCAATTTCGCCTTGAACTTGCTCGAGAACTCATTGAAGAATATGGATCAATGCGGCCACAGACGAAAGGAAGACCACCTATCGATTGTCCACTACGCCTCTCTGCTCGTCATTTCATCGCTTTTATTCCTGGTACTAATGTCAAGAAACGTTGCTTCGTCTGCAGTCATTCGGTCAAGCGTGAAAAAAAACGGAGTGTTACAAGGTTCTATTGCTCAGACTGTGATGTTCCACTCTGCAATCCTGATTGTTTCAAAGAATATCACACTTTGAAAGCTTTTTGATACTCTTTTTAGTGCATCTGCTAAAAATAAAGCATTTTAAAAAAGTTTAAAACTGTAATTTTTCCGTAAAATAAGCCGGTCCTGAAAGGGTTAATCGTATTCCTTTCTTTCGAGTGCAGCCGAACCAAGATTGTCTACAACACCACCAACAACAACGGTAACAAGATCACCACCAGTATTAGGACCACCACCATCACCACCATCGCCGCCACTACCACCAGCACTACCAGTACCGCCACCGCCACCACCCGACCACCAGCACTGTAACGGTTAATGCACGTCTCTAATGCACCTGTGTAACCTGTTCACGGAGATTGACCTTGACCTCTCTTTGATATGTCATGCGCGATACTATGTTTATAAGTTATGTTCAATAAAGAAACGGCGCGTTTTTGAATGTGTAGGTGACACAGCACACTAGCATGTCGTAAGACAGATGCTGTCGCTCTCATAATTCGTCATAATCGTCACTATCACAAGCTGCTGCACGAACAAATAGTTTCTATAGGAATCATTGTAACCAGTGATGGGATCGATTAATGCTTTTTTTTAAATCGAGCCGAGCTGAACCGGAATAATTTTTAAGAGTCTTCAACCGAATCGAATCGAGTCGAAATAGTTTGAGATCCACCCGAGTATATAAATAAAATGATCAAAAGTCATAAGTAGTCAGCGTTTATCATGACAGATCTTTTGCATACAACGATCTTTGGTTTTCACTTTATATAAACAGAAGTATATCTCTATTTGTTATCAGAAATAAATGGAATGAATCCAGATAATTATTAGAGAAGAATAGACTAGAGTTCTATTAAGCTCCATATTTTGTCGTTCTCAAACTTTTGTTTAAAAGTTTTATACACCATTATCTCGTTGAATTTGACCGTTTTGTAATATTATATACGCGTGACCTATTTAACAAATGTTTTCTCTTTTCGGTCAATTAATAGTGCTATCCCTTCTCTTCCGTCCGATATGTTCATTTTCATTTCCAACATATGTCACGTAATGAAATCTTTGACACCATTGAAGGGCGTATTTTACAACTTTTGCATCAAGGTCATTCTTATTCTGGATTAGTACGCTTATTGAAATTTGATGGGACAAATGTGTCCAAGTCGACTGTATCCAATGTCAAAAGAAAGATTAGTCGGCAAAGAAACTACAGTAAAAATCAAAATCTCTCGACCAACCTCGACTACCAAGATCGACAGTAAATAACGTAATCAAGAAATCTGACATCAACGATACACCAACCCAACGATCCATCGCAAAGTCTCTTCATATTGCGGAAAGTGGTGGTTTGAACATTGTAAAAAACGCTGAATTAGTACTTAGAAAACAAAGCGAAAAGTTCAAAATCTTACATTATCGAATATTACAAAGCATCAACAACGATCTCGTCCACTTTATCGTCAATTAGTCAATTATCGCTACAAAAATTTCACTACGACTGATGAGTCTTGGTTTTATCTTGATGCAACTGGTGGAAAACATATGATGTGTTATAGCGTTTACCGGGAAATTCTATATGCTTTGGGTACCAACTGATTTCCCGGAGATTGAATCTGTTGATCGGACAAACTGAACAGTCTGAGCAGCTGTAATTCTCATATAGGGCATAATGGGGATATTAGAGACTGAAAAGATGTCATTCTGTGTACTGAAGGGATCTCTCTCAGTGAGAGTGCGGAGTGGATATCGATGCCGTTTACGCCCATTATGGAAAGTCCTCAATGAGCATTATGTCCATTTCGGCTGTTCTGCACTTTTATATTGGGCATTGTAGGCTTAAGTTAGAATTTCCTAATTTCCCGGAAAACGCTATAACGCATCGAATCAGGTAAATGGTTACAATAAGTATATCGGCTTAAACGCGTAACGCGTCACCTCAGAAAATGTAGTATTTATATCATCTTTTTCATCTAATTTACAGTTCGAAATGCGTGAGTTATAAATCAATTCGCATCGGATCTTACTGATTTATGTTCACA